TCATGTTTGCAAGGCAAGTACTTTACCAACTGTACTTTCTTTCTAGACCCTGCTTCATTCCTTTTTATGGCTGACTAATATTCCATTGCCCAAGTATAACACATTTTGCTTATGCTTTCATGTGTTGATGGACACTTGGTTTGTTCTCAATGTTATTATTAAGAATATTTTATGGTTTTTCTATGTCTCATGGGGCTAGGCCCTAGAGCCATCCTAGGAAAATAGCTACCTGGTGCATAGTCTAATGGAAAATTAGGCAAGTAACCACACTATAACAACATACATAATTGCTGATTGCTGCCACTGGGCCTGTGAGGACACACAGGGCATGTTGAGTAGAGGCTTAGACTCCCTGGGTCCTGCACTTGCCTGGCCAGCTGCCATCCATGTAGTATAGGAGTCTCTTCTCCTGGGCCTCAACACCCATCTGTAAAATGGATTTCAGGTTAAAACCTCCCGGGATATTCTCAGACTCTGTGATATCAAGTCTTATCAATGGCAGTGGTTCTCAACCTTCCTAAACACTGAGACCCTTAATACAGTTCCTCATGCTGTGGTGACCCCAACCATGGAATTATTTTCCTTGCTACTCATAACTGTAATTTTGCTACTCTTATGAATTGTAGCATAAATATTTTTGGAGACAGAGGTTTGCCAAGGGGCTCATGACCCACAGGTTGAGAACCACTTATCTATGGGGATTTTTGTTTGGTTTGTCATTGTTGCTGTTGTTTGTTTTCTGTGTTGCTGGGAATGGAGCCCAGGGTCTTGTGAATGGGAAGCACATACTCTACCACTGATAGATACCCCCAGCTCCAGGCCATGGCCTTCTAAGATGACTTCTGCTTTGTTTCCTGGGTGGACTTGGGTTGGAGACTTTCATTTGGGGCAGGGGCTGTGTGTTTCAGTACTGTCAGCCTGGTGCTGGGTAGGAGAGTATCTCTGAGTGGCCATGGTCCTGTGCAAGGCCACCTGGCATCCTCAGCTGTCTGCCTAGGTAGCAGCATATTCACAGAGGAGGCCGGTAAGGGATGAACTGAGTCAGAATTCCCCATCAACATGGAGCCGTGAATGGGTAGCTAAGTGGAGGAGGCCCGAATGGACTTAGAATTCTGTTGGGGATGTTGGGTCAGAAGTTTAAGCCTGGGAAGTGGATGCCAGAGGCAGGGACAGCCAGAAGGAGGGAGTGGTGCCTGGGAGGAACCCACAGCTAGGGTGGAGACTTCCTGTCAAACAGCCCCTTGTCCTGGCAGGAGAGTGCATTCCTTTCCCCCAGGAGATAAGAGGCCAGATTTTCCTTTCTCAGGGGCTCCTTCAGGCTGAGAGTTACATAGGCCAGGTCTCTGGGGAGGGGTGGGGGAATCTGGGTCCACAGTGGGTGGGGCCTCTCTAGTTTGTGCAGGGCCCCAGTTGACCAGAAGCTGGAGCTCCCTTCCACCACCCCCAACCCACTAGGCATCCTGGGAGGAGTTGCAGGCCCTACAGGGGGAGCACAGACTTAGACTCTGCCTGGGGTCCCTGTCTCTGTGACCATACTTCACCTAAGAAAATGAACCAGGGTGCTGAGGACTTAAATGCCCAGCCCAGGAAAGTCCCACACAGCATCCCGCACAACCTTTTCTGCCCCATTGCTGTATCCACCTCAAGATCCTGCTTGTCCCTTGGGGCCCAAGTCACACCCTGGCATTTGACACCCCCTTTTTGACCATCCTCTCTGGGTGAAATCTCTTCTCATTTCACTTTATTGACTCCAAGAACACTGTAAGGGGAAAGTTCAATACATTAAAAACAATTTTTAAGATTTATTTATGATTATCATTGTTGTTGTTTTGGTTTTTCAAGACAGAGTTGTCCTGGAACTCACTCTGTAGACCAGGTTGGCCTTGAACTCAGATTCCCTCATGCTGGGGTTAAAGGCATGTGCCACTTCCCCACCATGACCCCATCCCCAGCTAAAATGTTTATTTTATGTTGGAGCTGGAGAAGTGGCTCAGAGGCTTGCTGAGTACAAGAGTTCAGTTCCCAGCACCTGCAACTTCAGCTCCACGGGATCCCTCTGGCCTCCACGGGCAACTGAACACGTGCAATATATGCATGCAGACAGATATACACATGCATACATATAAATACAAAATAGAAAATGTATAAGCATAGGTGTTTCACTTGCATGTATACTGTGTACCAAATGTGCCCCTGGTGCCTGCAGAGGGCAGACGAGAGTGTGGGGTCCCCTAGAACTGGAGCAACTGATGGTTGTGAGCTGCCTTGTTGAGAATTGAACCCTGGTCCTCTGGAAGAGCAGCCAGCAGTGCTCTTAACTGCCGAGCTATCACTCCAGCCCCAAGTACTTTTTGAAATAGAGGCCATGGCCACAGATGGAGTGGCTTGTTGGCTGTTAGAAACCCTCTTGCAATAGTGTTCACTTTCCCTTCCACAAGGGAGAATGCCTGGCTCAGAAAGGTCCAGTCACTGGACACTTAGTCACTCCCCTACCAAAGCAAGCGGCTACTCTGCACCCCTCCCCTCTCCAGCCCTTCACCCCCTTGGTTGCTAGTGCTGGGAGGTGGCTTTTTTGCTGCTTCCTGGCTGCCTGCCCTGCTCAGGGCGGAGGCCCTCTCCCGGGGGCCAGAGGAGGCTCCAGGGCTCCAGGCTGCCTTCCCTGGGCGGTCTGGGTGGACCCCACAGGCCCAGCCCCATTTCACATTTCCCTTCTGGCCCCTGCTGAATGCCCAGCCCTCTCCGTGTGTTTTCTCTCTGGGTGGGGGCTCAGGCCTGGAGACCTGGTTCACTCCTCTCTCCACCTTCTCCTTGAGAGACCAAAGTTACCAGGACCAAGGCCAGAGAGTGGCTTGAAGGCTACTCCTTGCTCACAGCCCAGAATTCCTTGAGGTTCTTTCCTTTTCCTTCTCTGCAGGCCATGAGCCGTACACCCCAGTTATGTTCCATTCTTTTCAGGGTTTTTTGAAAGTCTCTCGCTCTGAGGCCCATGCTGGCCTCAAACTCTTTCCCCCACCTGTGTCAGAGTGGGGTCACGGTTTTAGCTCTGTTTCATAGCACTTTTATCGGACACCTCCAACCGTGCCGAGTGGGAGAACCCCTCCTGTGGGGACATGGCAATATCTTTTGACTCTCGTGTTGTCTAAGCAATCCGCCTGTGTTGTGTACTCTGGTGTGCTTGGTTCTCAGATGTCTCGGTCTCTGCAAGTTCGCAGATGCACCAGTCCTATCGCGTCTGGAAAACAGTCTTTCCTGGACTCATCCACCACCCGGGCTCTCCCAATCTTCTCACCTCCTGTCCTCACAGACCTCTGAACCTTGGGGATGGGAGGCATTTGATAACGATAGCCCATTTAGGACTGAGTGTTCCAGAGCCTTCCACTCTCTGAACAGTGTCCAGTTGTGGGTCTCTTTGTTAGTTCCCATATACTGCAAAAAGAGCAATGCACTAGATATCTACAGATAATAATATGTTATATATTTATGTGCTATAGAATATACCACATAGAATATAGTATATAATTATAATAGATAAGAGTTTAGCAGAATAATAGAAGTAGGTTCTTCCCTAGGGGCCTTGACCTATGTCCCCAGGTTCTTGGGCATTTTAGCAGTGTCAGATACGGGTATGTACAAGACCTGCCCAGGGTCAACCCAGACAAAGTTCTGCACTGGCAAGGGGAAGTGGATTGAGGTCCCACCCTTAACTGAGTTGTTTGTAATTGATATCTTCTGGGAAAGAACAAATCCAATGGTGTATCACTGGATATATCAAGCACACTCCAGGGCAGGCCCTATGCCCAGGAATTGTTGGCCAACACAAAACAGCTTCTGTGTTTTTGGTGTGTGTGTGTGTGTGTGTGTGTGTGTGTGTGTGTATGCTTTCTTTTTTTTTTTTTTTTTTTTTTTTTGCCTTGCTGATTATCTGTTTTGATTTCATGGTTTGTTTGTTTTTCCTATTTTGTTTTTGTATTAGAGAGAGAACATGAAGTTGGTTTTTAGGGAGATGGGGAAGAACTAGAAGAGGGGAATAATATGATTGAAATATATTGTATGGGATCTTTTAAATACAACTTTTAAAAAATGGCTCAGTCAACCAGACCATAGTTCCCTTCTCTCCTCCCCTCTTTCATCTCTCGTTATCTGCATGCATGAAAGCCACCGATGTCACTGGTAATTCAAAACAGTAGAAAATAAAAAGCACGCAAGGCCAACGGCAGAGACTGGTTATAGTTGCTTTGTCAATGTCGGTTGTCATCTGCTGGCTGCTGGTTCCCGGGGGTGGGGGGTGGGGGGTAGGGGATGGGGGGTGGCGGTTGCGGGGTTGGGCTGACACACAGGGAAGCCAGCTTGGGTTTTGCAGCTGGCACAGGAATTCAGCCATGTGTTTGGATGCTGTGTACCGGAGTCCTGAGAATGAGGCGGCTTTCAGAGGGAGGAATCTGAAGAAATCCTCTCCTGTACCCCTCTGAGAATGTGGCCTGCAGACCGGGGCTTGGAAGGGCTCATTGGCAGTCTGTGGCAGGACCAGGGTATCCGGGCTCAGGTTCTTGTTTTCTCCTAAGAGGTCTTTGGCAGTCTTATGCCTGGAAAAGACCCTCACACCCTATGCCAGGCAAGAGAAACCTAGCGGGACCCCTCCCAAAGGCATGCCTCTGTGTGTGATCATCCTACCTGGGGGCCTGCAGCCCCATTATTGTGGCTGCTCTGAGCGCTAACGCCCAAGCCCAGGCCAGCAGGGGCCGCCCGCCCGCCCATCTAAGTGCCCTTTGTTCATTGTTGCCTTTCTGGGCAGTGGCTGCGCTCATCGGGCCCCTGGTAGCCTGCACAGTGAGATGGGGCCTTTGAACACTCCCTTTCCTCACCCCTCTCTGTCAGGCTATTTCAGATCTGCCTGGATCTCTGTTCCCAGAGTGTGGCAGGTAGTGAAGACACTGGATCCTCCTGGATTTCAGTCCGACTCCACAACTGAGGGTGGGGGGGAGTGAGGCTCAGGAGGGGCCATGTGCCGCAGGAGGCTTGAGCAGTACTTCCGGCTGTGGCTGTACTGTACTTCCTCCTTCTTTGAGGATTCCAGCATGCTGAGCCCTGATGGCCTTCCCTTGCCCTGCCTGGGTCCCTCCCGCCCCTCCCTTCAGGGCTGTTTTGGTGCCTGTGCTTTCCCAGAACCGTGGCCTCTCCTTTCCTTTTCCTTGCATAGTTACTCTTCCTGTGATCTCTCAGGCCCCACCCTCCTCTCAGTCTGGGGGGGGGGCGCCCGCCTCCCTCCCTTCCTCTCTCCAAGCCCTTCCTCCACTCTTTCTATTCCTGGTTGGACCAGCCGCTCCCATTGTCCGTTCCCAGGAAAGGGATGTCTGGCTGCTCACTCACTGGTCACTGGTTGCTGATTACAGGGTGGGGGGACCTGAGCCCAAAAGAAAGCCAGTGCTGCTGCGGGGAACAGTCCACAGTTCACAGCACCAGCAGCATTTTTAGAAACCTGCTTTTCTAAGTTAGTCCACAGTCACAACCGGACACCCACACCAAAGTCACAGCTGCCTCTACTAATTTCACCACCGGCTGTGTGTAGGGAGCTGGGCTGTGTGTGTATAGGGAGCTGGGCTGTGTGTAGGGAGCTGGGCTGTGTGTATAGGGAGCTGGGCGGGGACTCACACCGCAGGTGCCACAGGGTGTTTCCCAGCAGCCACTGCACCAGGCTGGCTAGATCTGTGAGCCTGGGCAACTAACACTGAGACCCAGAGCTCCTCTTTGTCACTGCTTGTGACCAGAGTTGAAGACATTTGCGAAAGGATGAGGAGGCTTCCATGAGTACCCCTGAGAGGTAACACAAGGCCTCCAAGGACTGTAGTCTAGGGCAGCAGTGGAGGGAGCTGAGTGACCCGATTCTGGAGAAATGTAGGGCCTTCTACACACAGGCCTTCAAGGGCACCCTCTGCCTCTTCCTGCCTGGACTTGTGACTATTTGTTCTCTCGTCCCCTGCCCTGCTCTGTTTTTGGTCTTCCTAAAAAGTACACAGCTCAGAGGGGCCCAGAGTATTTTTACTCCGTGGATACAGAAGCAGATGTTCAGGTCAAGACCAGAGGCATTCACATGCGGCAGCTGCAGGTCCTCAGCATCCCAAGCCCTTCAGGGTTGGAGACACAGCTGACAGGACCCAGCTTTTGCAGCAAGCAAATGACATTTGGGCTGCAGGAAGCACATGTAGGCTAGGGCTGTAGCTCAAGACTAGAGCACTTGCCTGCCACCCTAGTCCTATAAAACAGAACCCCAAAGCCCTCTAGGATACAACACAGAGAGACATAGTGATTGGGAAACTTGATGTAAACCGAGCTGGAGTCCCAACAGCGTTGTGCATGCTCCCAGCTGTACCGCTGTGGGCCCTGGTCCCCTAGGTGTCTCTGACCTGCAGTGCCCCAAAGGATCTGCCTGGTTTTCCCAGATGGGGAGACACAGGCTTCTGGAACTGAAGAGGAGTCATTAATTAAGAGGAGACAGTAATTAATTAATTACCTGCATCTCTCTGTGAGGGAGACAATGTGGCAGCCTCTGTAGGAGCTGGCCCAGGATTTGGAGCCCTAAGAGAAAAAGAAGGGAGTTAGGATAGGCAAGAGTCACAAAGGCCCCTGGGAGATGGGGGTGTGTGGCAAATAAGGCCAGCCTCAGACATTCCTTTTCATCTGAGAGAAAATGGCCTATATGGGGCCAACGCCACCAGGCCTAATGCCCTGCTCCTGTGAGCTTAGTCATCTCCTTAGGCCCCAAGTTCTAGTCTCCAGGACACGGCTGCAGATTTCACTTCCAAGCCTTACTGAACCCCTCCTTTTTAAATGCTATTTGTTCTAGCTTGCTTATGATTTTCTCATAAACCACTCAAATCGTTCTGAGAAGCAGGACAAGTACACATGGCAAACAAGAAAAGAAAGAAGGTGGTGCATCTGGAATGTCCCAGCAGACACTTGGCCTTCACTTGGGGATCATTTGTTTTCCTAAAAGATCCAGGTTTTTAATAAGTAGATTGCCCTCATTTTTTTGAACTGTGGAAATGTTATGGGGAAATTTTGAAGGACAAGAATTGCTGGATATGATGGTGAGTGCCGATGATCTGAGCACTGGGGAGGCTGAGACAGGCAGAGTGTGCGCTTGTGAAATATCCTTGTGTATAGGTACCTGGGTATGTGTGTATGCAGATGTAATGTATGCTTGTGAGAGTGTCAATGCCTGTGCTGGGGAGCTGTGGGTTAGTGTATGTTTCTAAATTTGTCTCTAATTTGTTTCTAATTTGTCTCTGTGTGTGCTTATGTGTATGTCTTTAGCCCTGAGAGAGGCGGCATTTGAGGCCTCCTCCTGCCCCATAGATGTTGTGAGAGAGAGGTAAGAAGGCTCCCCCTCGTCACCATTAAGGAACTAAAATGCCTTTGAGCCTGCAGGCTGACCAGACAAAGCCCCGGGGCCAGAGGACTTAGCCCTTCCTGTCTTAAGACCTCCTTTGAGGCTGTGGAGGTGAACAGTGTAGAATCAGGTGTTTATGTGCTATGGGCTGGCCCTCTCAGGGTGCACAGCCCTGGTGCACGACATCCCAGCCTGGCTGAGCTGAGCTCCAAGGCAGGCCGCCTGGTTTTCTCTTCAGGAAGACTAGTCAATGGGGTCAGCCAGCGGGTAAGCTAAAGTTAACTTAGCTTGTTATTGCTCTTTGTTGATGAGGGGAGGACCAGCTGCCATTCAGAAACCTGGTGTGGTGCTTGAGACTTAATACGCCAGAACAAAGTCTATATTCAGCCAAGAGAAAGCAATTGACAATGATGTGAAAGTCCGGACTGGACTCCCCAAGGCTCTCTGAGATTCCACTTTATTTTCTTGAAGAATATTTTTCTCATGAAGTTATGACTCTTGGAAGCTGAGGAAGCACATGGCCTCCTGGGAGCCATCAGAGACCAGAGAGCTCTCTTTCTGGAGGGAAGCTCTGAGGTAGATAGGGAGTCGGGCAAGGCTCCTGGAGGACTCTGTCCTCAAGCTGTGGTGTTTGATGGTGGGGGTGAGGGCAGCAGTTCATACACACAAGCTAGCTAGTTCTAGGGGACAAGACTGAAAGGGAAAGCCAAAAATCCTAGGTATCTCTGAGCCAAGAACATTCTCCTTGTGTCTCAGAATTCCATGGCCTGCTAGGACATCTGCACATGCTGTTCAAAGTGACCTCTTTTGACAAAGAAGCAAACTGGATTGAAGGCATTTAAGAAACTTTGTTAAGGTCAATGTACAAACTACTTTGAAGAATTCAGATGTCAGATGTTCTCGTTACAAAGTAGCTTGTGAACAGAGAGTAGCAGGAAGCCTGGGAGGGCGATGTGTCCATGAGCTAAAAGATCTAAGAGAAGATGATGATGAGGCCTAGTTACCACCTACCTATTGTGTGCTAGGGAGAGTAGAGGTGAGGTGTGCCAGAGTGGACTTCTAGAACTGGGTGAGGGGCTGGAGAGATGGCTTTGTGATTAAGAGTAAGTACTGCTGCCACAGAGGACAGGAACCTGAGTTCGGTTCCCAGCACCCACATCAGGTGGCTCATAGCTGCCTGTACCTCTGGCTCCAGGGGACCCTACCCCTTCTTTTGGCCTCATGGGCACATACAGATGCATCCACATAAATAAAATTAAAACAAGTGTTTTCAAAACAAGGACTGTGGTTGAGGCTGGGAACAAAGCTTAGTTGGTAGTCTTGGGCACTGAAGCACTGGGCTCCAGATGACATCAGAGCCAGCTTGAACAACTTAGAGAGTCCTGTCTCAAAAAAAAAAAAAAAAAAAAAAAAAAAAAAAAGCAAGCAAGCATAATATTGATTCTCCGAGAGAGGGGTAGTAGGGCAGGGAATATGACCCCAGTGGATGCACAGGAGTGGTAAAGGGTGAAGGGGACATAGCAGACTGTTTCTAGATTGTGGGGAAATACGATGTTTAACTTAAGGAGTCTGAACTTTATTCTTTGGCTCCCAGGAACCCAATGGGAGGTTTTCAAGCAGGGATTTGTTTTTATGGAAAGCAGTCTCATAAATATACCCTCATTGAAAGATGCTGTCTCCATTCTGAAATCTATAAAGCAAAGATGAAGCCATCCCTCCCCTGAGCTAAATAACCACCGATCTCTATGACATGTCATTCCTGTGTAGTTGTAGGTACAGTTACACAAGTCAGTCTTCTAAATCTTTCCCTCTTGCACACATACCTTGCCTTTGAATGTTTGATATTACATACCTGCCCATGGTGTCTTATGCCTATAACCCCAGCAACTCAGGAGGCTGATGCAGGAGAATCACAGTAAATTTGGGGCTAGCCGGGACTACACAGTGAGTTCCAGGTCAACATGGGCTACAGAGTGTGCCACTGTCTCAAACAGAAAGAAATAAATATTTACCATGCTAAAACAATGCTGTCTCCTTGGGTACTGTGCAGTACCTGACCACTGGGCTCCATTTGCCTCCTTCATGTCATTTCAGAGCACGGCTTTATTGGGTACTCCCCAGAACTGCTAGAGAGCAACATTCTGCCAGAGTACAGCCCCGGGGAGTCTTTCTTCACTGTGTTTGGGGTGTTCTTCCCGGCAGCTACAGGTAGGTGCTCTCTGCTCTTTCTTACTCTTGCCTTAGGGGTGTAAACCCTTGATTCCCCAAGCTTAGCATCACAGATGGCCTGCATGCTCTTTTGGAATGTGTAGCTGACTTTGGCGATAGTGTTAGTGTTGATTAAAAATCCATTATTTTCACAATGGGTTTGCCTGTTCCTCATTTCTGGAAGCCTCAGCCTGATTTCAACAGTCTTCACTCCTTTATACAAATTACATGTCTTGGCCAAATTAGTAGAAGGGACTTATTTCTCTTCAGGCAGGACAGGATGGATTCCTCAGCAGAACAAACTGCCTCTGTCATTTCTAGAATGAGTTTGGACTGTGTCCCTGCCCCTGTCCTGTGCCCTGTTGTGTTTTCTCTCAGGGATCAGAGAAATGAGGCCCCTGGGCAGGGCGTGTACCTCCTTATCCTGCCTCCCCCCTTTCTGCTCTGCATGACTGTGGAGGAGACAATAGAAGAGTTCCTGCCTCAAGTGTGGATCCCTGGCCTAGAAGGCAAGAAGCTAATGGGAAATGCTCAGGACAGGTTGTCTCCAGACCAGAAAAGTATCTCTGTTGCTGATCTGGAGTCAGCTGTCTCCTGTCCTCTGCTTCCTTTGTGTGCATGCACGTCCTTACTTGGTACCCTTTCTCCATGTAGGCAAAAGGGTGGGAAAGGAGAAGTCCATGAGATGTCTAACATGAAAGAGACAGATGCCATACAGATGTTGAAGGGGTGTGCAGAGTCCATACTCACCTGTCCTACTGATGGGAACACAAAAGTTCACACCACTTTAGAATAGTTTGACCATATACCCAGCTAGCTCCTCCACCTCTAATTAGCTGGAAGCAAGTGAAAGCTTGTATGTGAAAATTCAAAGCAACTTAAGGTGAGCTAGAGAGATGGCTCAGTGGTTAAGAACAACTATTGCTCTTACAAAAGATGAGGTTTTGGCTCCCAATTCCTACATGGTTTACAACTACCTGTAATCCCTCTTCTGATCTCTACAGGCACTGCACTCAGCACACACACACACACACACACACACACACACACTTAAAATATTCAGAGCAGCTTAATTTATAGAGTGGAAATTTCTGGAATGCTCATCAACAGGTGAGTAGGTAAATTGTGGTGTAGCAGTTTAAAAGGAAGGCATTATTGATATATGCAGAAAATATACATGAGCCTCAAAATAATTATGCTGAGCAAGTCAGACAGAAAAAGATACAAAACACTGAAAATGTAAAATCACATAAACCCTATTTATATAGCATTCTAGAAGAAACAAACTTTAGTTTGCAGACAGCAGGAGGCTGCCTGGGGATGGAGATGGGGGGGGGATTAGAGGGAGGGCCTGCTGGGGACAGGATGCTTCCAGATGAAGAATACATTCTGGGTTATGCTGGTGGCTTCAGGGTGGTGCATCTGTCTTGTTGAAAGCATGTCATTTACTGAGTCTGAGTTATGCTAGAATAAAGCTGCTTAAGTGAAAGAAACACTTAATCACCTTGCTGGTAAGGGCCCAAGGTGAGGTGGCTTTTGTCTGTATTTGCTACTGTCCCCTGTTCAACTCCACCCCACTCTCCCTAGTGTCTCCCCAAATGACAGGGACCCTTCATGGCCCTCGGTGACTTCCGTGGTACTGAGCAGTGAGCATGTCTGATTTCCTGCTTTCTGTGACCTCCCAGCAGCCACTGCTTCCTCTTCCTTTTGAGTGCCTGTCGCACACCTCCAGTGCCTTCCCTGTCCCCTGCTCTCACCCGTTTCTCCCCTGTCTGTCAGATGTTTGTCTTTCTCAAGCTACCCAGCCCTTCTCGTCTTTCTCTCTTTGAGTGCCTGTGTACGGATGGGTGTGCATATGGAGGGCAGCCTCGGGTGGCATTCCCCAGGTTCCAGACATCTTGGTTGCTAAGACAAGGTCTCTTGCCAGCTTAGACCTTGCCAAGATGGTCAGGCTGGCTGGCCAGTGAGTTCCAGGGACCTGCTTGCCCCTGACTCTGCAGTACTGGGACGACAAGCACATGGGCCACACCGGGTTTTGTCACATGGTTTTAGAGACGGGGTCAGGCAAGCACTTTACCACTTCCCCCAACCCTGTTTTCTTAATCTTTCCAAATCCTCTTATTTAGTGATCACCCACAAAGCTGAGGATTCCTTCACTCGCTTGCCCGCTAGCCCAGGCTTCTCCTCAACACATCCCGTAGTTTCTTAAGTGGCTTGTATAACACCTGGGATGCTTTAGACTCAATGAGTTCAGAACCAAACGGTTTTCTTCCCTCCTTCCTGATCTCAGGGATGGTACCCGGGAGCAGGGACTTAGCCTTCCTCCTCCCATCTTTCTCCTAAAACTCCTGACAAGTTTACCTTCTAAAAGCACTGGATTCTCTTCACTTCCTCTCACCTCTGCCACCTGACCACCCTGTTCTGAGATACACCCCTCGCTTAGATCATTGCACACCCCCATACCATCCCCAACCTTGGGAATGAGCCTGAAACTAGGGCTGAGTAGGTAGAATCCTGACCTGCAGGTTCAGATTGGTCAGAACAATGTACCTCTTTCATTTTTATAAATTGAAAAGAGAGTCTGTCTCTGACTCAAGCTTCCTCCCAGCGGGACGACTTACGATTCACCCCTATCCCGATGACTCAAAGCCAGTGTCAGTCATTGAGGATGCCACTACCCGGTACTGCCATGGTTCCATCAGGTCCAGCTTTTGGGGCTCTTAACCAGTGCCAAGGCACCTTAGGTGGTCTTGCTGTTGTGCATCTGTGTACAGAGGTCCCAGGACCTCTCTGCAGGGCCTTTGGATTTCTGCTGTCTTTAAGCTGCTTGGGGAGACCTGCTGAATTTGAGAGCTCTGCATTTAGGGCCTAAGCATTTGCCAGACCCTCGGTACTCTGTGGTCCTGCCAATACTGCCAGGGAGTGGGTCCTGGGTCCTTATTGTCTCAGATACTGTGGGCCTACCTTTCCCTATTCCTAACCCTCGGGCCAGTCTTCTATGTGAATGGGATGGGGAGTTCATCTGCTCAGGTTCATCTGCCCTAGGTGTGACCAGCACATTCACACCGACTCCCACTTAGAGAAGGGCCTCCTCTTGGTATAATGCTTTGCTTTAGCTAAAATGTTTCATTGATTTAGAACAAGGGACTCCTGTAGTTTTATTTAATTGGTCCCTATGAATGATGTAGTTCCTGTTCTGGTTCCCCATGCTGTCACTAGCCATCTGCCAGATTCCTTCCACTGCTTTGAATCTGTGAAACATAAGGACCGAGGCTGTGGAGAAACAAATCGGGAAAATTCTGCACATCTCCCCAAAGCCATCAATCAAATCTAGCTGAGCTTCCTCTTGAATGGACAGAAAAGGATAAGGGGAAAGAGGAGAAAAAGAAGAAGAAAAAAAAGTTTAACATTTAAAATTGCTCACCCGTCCCTCCTGCCCTGCCCCTCTGAGACCCTAATGAGCACACAGCCAAGAGGTCCCATGACTTTCCTGGGCCTAACAGGGAGTTCCCGCCAGGTGAAGACCCTGAACCAGAGAGGCCAGGGTAGCAGCTGTGCCTGGGCAGGAGGCGCACCTCCCTGTGGCTGCCCATGCTGCTCTTCTCCCAGACTGTCCTTGTATTTCTTTGAGAAGGCTGAGAACACTGGTCGAGATGTGTTTTCTAAGGTGGAGGAGGTGGCTCATTGGGTAGAGTGCTTGCCAAGCAAGCCTGCCAACCTGGGTTCTGATCACTGAAACTCACATCAAAGCCTGTCGCAGGAGTGCAAGCATCTCCAGTCCCAGCGAGCCTGCTAGAAGGCACAAGCCTGCTAACCTGTTTCATGCAGGGACTCTAGCTCACACAAGGTGCCAGGGTGAGGTTGCCTGCCACGTGTACCATGGAACACACGGCCACACCTCACACACAAACAAGGATCCACTCCCCAGCACAGACACGTTTACAAACACAGATCTATCTTTTGTGCTTCTATGTATTATTTTGTAACAGTCCACATGTAAAACTGTCACACTGAATAGAATGGCCACCACACGGGCTTCTCTGTGCCACCTTGGGGCCTGGGTTTTCTGAGCCTCGGCAGCTCAACTGGGCTGAGAACCTCTGATCTGGGTTTGTTTTCCTGGCTGGGTAAGGAGGGGTGCATAAAGACTTGAGAAGGACCCCATGAAGACCATATAGCTAATTAGGAAGCAGAGAGGGGGCCAGACTGCGCCCCCGGCTCTGTTTACTAGGGCCCCAAAGTAAACATGGAGGCAGGGTGAACATTCATTCGCACCACTTGTTTTGCCCTGGCAGATGTTTGGTTGAGCTATGAAAAGCATGGATGATTGGCAGTTTCCATGGTGACAGATTTGCGGGGATTAGCTGTGAGTGAGTGGTGGCTGGGGCTCCCTCCCACACCATCCTCTTCCTGGCTGTGGAGAGGGAGTTTTGAAGAACAAACATTTTTGCTGTGTCCCCACCCCCAGAGCCGTGTGTAACCTAGATACTTTATCCGAGGTGGTGGGGGGGTGACTTCAGAGGAGCAGCAGAGCATTAGGTGTGGTGGCCCCACTGCATTTATGAGGCCTGACCTCTGTTCCCACCAAGCTGGCTGCACCTCGCCCTGTGGAAGGGGTTGCAGGGGTGGGAATAGGGGCAGTTTCCTTCTCCAAGCGGCACCACCAAACTCTCCAACCCCAAACATCCCTCCCTACAGGGTTTTCCCAAACACGCCCTTACAGAGGCAGCCACTCCAGGAACCCAGGACCACAGTTCATGGAAGAGACAGCTGAGGATAATACCAGTAGGATGAAGTCACTGAAGCCTTGTCCTCAAATCCTGAACTCTTACTGGAAAGGATAGAGGCTCTTTGGCCACAGTCAGCACTCAGGGCTGTGGTTGACCACACCCAGCATAAAGAACTTGGTGGGAAACCAACAGCTTTTACCAGAATGTCCATAGCCATCTTCTTTGTCAAGGTCTATTTCTGTGATGCCCTTGACTCTTGAGCCCGACTTC